TGACATTCGTGAGAAAGTAACAATTGCGAACTAATGTCGTTTTCGTTTTTGCGGTGTAGTTACACCGGTGCTACACTGCCGTACACCGAAATAATTTAAGGTGTAGATATAGGATGCACCTTTGTTTACAAACAAATAATGTTGAGCTGTCAAAGACTCGCGCTTATTCCTGCTTACACTACACCGGTGCTACACCGCAAAAACGAAAACGACATAAATTTATATAGGATGTCAAAGTTTATCCACTGCTACTTCGATTTGCGCTTTCTTAACCCCCTCTCAGTTGATTACGTAAAGCGAACGTTTGAGCAGACACACCTAGCCAGATTTCGATTGAATGCCTTGGGATACGTCCATGTACACCGACCCTTATTACCGATGTCATTTCACGGTGAAGTGACAACTTATCGCTCACGGTGTAGTGAATCCCAGTTGATTTACACGGAAATCATTTCACCGTGAGTGACGCCAAGAAACTGGATGGACTTCCTGAAGATCGTGCCTCTTGTGTCTATCCCAACTCTTCTTATCCCACCTTCTAACGCGATGTTAAATAGCAGACACGAAAGTCCATCACCTTGCCGTAACCCCCTTCGAGATTCAGAGAGACTCTTGAGTCCCCGATACACGAACAACGCACATCACTCGATCGATCTTCGCCTTGACCAATCGCGTCAGTTTATCCGGAAATCCGTACTCGTATCGATCGATTGTGACGTATGCGGATTTGAAATCGATGAACAAATGATGTGTGGGCACATTGTATTCACGGCATTTCTGCAGAATCTGCCGAATCGTGAAAATTTGGTCCGTGGTAGCACGGGCACCCATGAATCCCGCCTAGTATTGCCCAACGAACTCAGGCGGGAGCAAAGGAATTGGGAGAGTACCTTGTAGGCGGCACACTGCTGAGCGCTGCCTACAAGGTATTCGCCCAATATCGCGCGGTAGTTGCAGCAATCGAACATGTCGTCTTTTTTTAAGATTGGGCATAAGACACCTTCCATCCACTCCTTCTGTAGTATTTGCTCCTCCCAAATCTTGGCAATTACCCAGTACAGCGCTCTAGCCAGTACTCAACTTCTTGGAGATCAGAGGCCGGTAGCCTGTCGTCTTCTGCGCGTGCTCTCAGATCTGTTGCCGTGCCACCTTCGTTCTCTGCTGCATCACCGTTGAGGTGCTCGTCATAGTATTGCTTTCACCTCACACTCGTTCTTGAATCCTTGCACAAATCGGCTTGCGGCACGAAGCCTTTGCGCGAACTATTTAGTGGACCCTACACGTTTGGTTTTATTGACAATAATCGTATTGTCAATACATCCTATATTGACGTCAATACATTGGTATTGACAATAATTCTGTATTCACATCAGCAATATTTTTGTAAATAATTCCCCTTCGCGTCAATATATTGATACGTGTGGTGTTCGCTTTTAGCTTCTCGAAGAACTTTCGTGTGTCGCGATTGTGGTCAGGCGCTTCTTCCTTCGAAAAACCGAGCTTTGTCTGTTTCGTGCATGTCTCGTGCACATTCAATCTCGCCAGGGCCGTGCTGCATTCGTCTCCGCTACTAACAGTTTGCATTCGAAATTTCTTGAAATTGTGGTTAAAATGTCCTTTGAATTGAATCATCCTCAGAATTTACTTTCAAATCAGCTTAGAGTTGCTTTGAAATTCTTCACCGAATTATCTTCGGAGTGCTCTAGGACTTCTATTTAATATCCGTATGGAATTCTCTTCAGAATTGCCATGTAATTCTACTCATATATCTCTTAGAATTTTCTACTGGATTCACCTGAAGCTTTCCTCGCAAAGTCAATGGTATTCTTTTCAGAATTATCTTGGAATTCTCCACTGCATTTCTAAAGAATACATTCTAGAATTCTCTTGGAGTTCTCTACAAAATTTCATTGGAATTAGGTATACCAATTTTCTTCCAAATTTCCTGGAAAGTTCTTCCCGTTAAATCATTTAAGAGCGTTGACAATTTCCCAGGGCCCAAAACCTGAAATATTTTTTTTTCGAATATGGAATCGCGGAAATTTTGAAAGTTCGTAAACTTCAGTATTTCTATAAGTTCTAATCATATTTCTGTTAAAAATTTCGGTATTGTGAGATTTTCCGGCTTTATTGCTAAAACACGGTAAAGCATCTTCCATATTTATTCCTCTGGAGAAAAATCCAAGATTCTTTTTGCAATTGTCGTTTTTTTTTAAATTCTGAAAAACGATTTTGTTGGTAAATAAGATCGGAAATTCGTATTGCCTCTCTGACTTTGGAGTGCAGTTCATAGCTGCTAAGTAAAAACACGTTGTATTCACCCTTCTGACATGTCACCCAGCTGTAACAACCCTGTACCGCAAAGTGCCATAATTCTGTGCAGCGCCGAAATTCCGCCATAATTTTGAACTATATTGAAATTTTATCTATTTATATTTTCCCATATACAAGTGGTTAATATCTACCTTCATGTATAATTCAATTCAAATTATAAAAGCGACCCCGGCGTACTGGTTAACATCCATACCTCTCACGCCAAAGTCACGAGTTCAAATCTCACCCCGGACAAGTCCAAGAGTGACTATAATAAAAAAAAATCATATTATACAGGGGCATTGACGTATTTACGTCAATCTGAGCAGCGTCCGTGCTTACATTACCAATTTCTCAGCGTCATGCACACAAATCAGTGTTCACTCGGCTGTCGACAGAAGAAGACAACTCTCAATATGTGTCACGCGATCGTCTGTTAACTCGGCAGCAACCATTCTGTGGTCCTTCTCATTGTTCTTCATCAGCAATTCTTTTAAGTCGATGCGTCGTCGACTTAGGAAAGCCAATTGGATAGCGGAAGATAAATTGTTTATTGTGTTCTACCTTTTGACTATAGTTTTAAGATGTTTTGTATATTCAACAAGAATTCTCGGCTCTGTTAAGTTAATTCGGTTGAACCTTATAAAAAAAAAAAAATAAAAAAAAAAAAATAAAAATTAAATGCACATAAATGACGTATTTGTGTGTTTACATTTATCTGCTACTTGCTATACTACCTACTCCAATCAACAAAATTGTCCAAAACGGGATGAAAACGTTTCTACAACGCTTCAAATTTCTTAGGTGAGTGTGACTATTGTCGACAGCCTCTTTTTTTTCGACAACCTTTCCATTTGAACTGCGAGTTATCCAGCTGTTCTATTATCGGCAACTCGAAATCAGCCGTATTATGCCGTGTGTCTGTTTCATTTGTAGAAAAACCTGTTCAGCAGTTTGATTGAAGCTGAAAGATTGAGGAAACGTTTAAATACATTCAGCGAAGTGTTTTGGTGTTGAAATACAGCGGAATTAACGTTTAAATTTTGGCGCCGAAGCCGTAATTAATACTACAATTTATAATTATTTTAGAAATTTTCAGGCCTTAGGTGCGCAGAATTATGGCACTTTGCGGTATTCGTATTCATACCTCAAAGTGCCATAATTCTACGCATCTAAGGCCTGATTCTGCGCAGTTTTGAAAATTTCTAAAATAATTATAAGTTGTAAATAATTTGAATTTGATTGTACATTAAGGTAGGTATTACCCGAGCAAAGTCGGTTAACAAAATGAAAGCAAATTGATATTAAAGATTGCAGTTCAATATGAAAACTCATTTTAATTTCAATTGTCACGACAATTAGTCTGATATCATATTGTGCAGTTTAATGAAAGCAACTTAACTTGAAGTTCTGATGTTAACGTCTTGTTTAAAATTTAATTAAAGCTCATCTGTCGTTGAACTAACGACTATTGTTTATTTGTTTTGTTTAACACATTTTAGATCATTCGTTACTTGCCCGAGGTAAGATTTGAGCTCAAGTCTTTCAGCGTAAGAAGCATGGATGCTAACGATTTACGCCAGGCCCGTATTCAGTATAAATGCAAAATCAGAAATCAAATTGATTTCTTTGAAAGCAAGATTAGTTTTCCGTTTGATTCAACAGTGTAAAAGTTTACTATTATTTTTGCTGTGTTAACCGTTAAGTCAACCAAAATGAGATCAATTGGAGTATTCAAAATAAGTTACATCATAACAGCAAATTTAGATTTCCACCATTTGATCTTCAGCTTTTTTACTACTTGTGTACGGGAGAAATATAAATTTAGATAAAATTGTAATATAGTTCAAAAATTTGGCGAAATGGGCGGAATTAGGCACTGCGGAGAATTATGGCACTTTGAAGTACAGCCAGAATTTAAAAAAATGCACCTTTGAAACTGACGTGTAGTAAGTAAGTAGCCGTTTAAGAGGGCCCGGATTGGCAAGTTCCTACGGACCATACAATATTTAAAAATTGTGTACGAACCAATGTCAATCCGTAATGTAGTTTATGGACAGCCTCAAGTAATATGCTGAACTACAAAAAGTTTCTAAAGTTTCTAAACTTAGTTAAAGTTAAAGAAAACCACCAAGAAAAGCGTTCATGATTATCATAGTAATCTCGTAGACTACCATTAATTTACGGAATTGACGGAAGAAATATATAACAAAGGAAAACTAAATCCTTCTTAAACATGCCACATCTGGTCACTGCACATGTTGCCAAAATAAGAAACTCTAACAACGCAAAAGCTAAGATAAAAACGTTGTTTTCATTGAAGTTTTGTTGAAAGAAATTACTAGTTAAACATCCTGACACATCAAAGCAATGATTAGATAAGGGAAACAATTCCAATCACATACGAAAAGTACAACAGCTGTCTTCAAAATCAACCTGGAATATAACTAATAAGCCCTTTTTATTGCAGCTGTAACTAAACCGTAACCGAGTAAACAGAACATTGGACTCAAACGACCAACCATCGTATGAATCATCCTTTGACGCTGTATAAAATTAATCCGAATTGATAAGATGCAAGCGTCGATGTGCATTGTAAACCATTCCCCGTCTAGGATCATCCGATTCCGAAACCAAAACCACCATCTGTACTATATAAACCGTTACCACGCTCCAGTGACACTCACCTGCGGTACCTGTGTGCTCTTGCCGGAACCGGTTTCGCCGACCAGCACCAACGTTTGGTAGTGTTCGAGACAGTAGAATATCTGATCGCGGTACTGCCGGATCGGAAGACGTTCGCGCTGAGTGGCAAGGTTGAGCGAGTGGTGAGAGTTGAAGACGAACGCGGTTACGTGATCATCGGACGGGGCTGCGTCACGTTCTGATGAAAATGAATCGTCATCTGAAATGAGCATAGAGAAAGCAATGCACAAAGTTAATATCTGTTGACAAAAACAAAACACCTTGTTACACCAGACGGAAACTCGACGGCACAGATTTCACAACAAACCAGGTAAATACGAAGCGAAGTACGATGGCACGCTTACAACTGCAGCAACAGCAGCAGACAAACTAATTCAATTAGTGTTCGTTCATCGGGGGTGGGAAGCTCTCTACCGGCTATTCATTCTTCACAGAGGTGTTGAAATATGCTGGTGGCACGATTCAATCACCGACCAGACCACCCGAACGAATGAATTGGTGATAAGTTCTCGACTTGGAATCGTGACTCTCTGTGTTCAACGGTTCGGTATTGTACTCAGATAGATAGACATGCGATAAGAACAGCGGCGTGGACAGACTCTCAAGGTCCAGAATAGGAGTGAATGCATAGACCACTAGCAACGACACTGAGATGTGAAGCGCAAAACAAAAACTGAAACACAGATAGAGGTACGCTGAACCTGTTCGATGGCGCACCAGGTGGAACTGGTCCTAAATCAAATTAACTTAATTGACGCGATAATTGGAGCAACTACATATCGATTTATGACCGCATTCGTTCTGTGTAGGACCAAAAACAAAGCACAACTTTCTTCGGTCAAACAGAACGTCTAGAATCTTCTTCAAGCAACGCCAACCATCCGTATCAATCTAGAACAACACGATCGGTGGTGTGCAACAACACACTAGCGCCACCCGCCGCGGTCAAGGTTAAATGAATTAAAATCTAAATTCAAACCGGCAACGACGATGTTCAGAGTCGTGTCATAGTCCGAGCTGTACTCGCAATCGCATCAGATCGATTCGTGGTCTGAACGTACAATTTTCTATAATACCCAAACAGAAAGTGGAGTCAGTGCACGCACTGACCGATGCCGGTTCCGAGTTGCCTTCTGCTCTTTTTTTTTTTCTTTGCGGCGACTGCGGAAATTGACGGTAAGGTACATCAACCTCCACGCACGACACGGTGTGTTAAAAAACTGAATCCAACCGGTACGCTTTCATCGTGCAACCGAACGTGACAGTGAACCTCCAGCTAGTTCTCCTAGCTGTGGAGAGAATTGTATAGCTACCGACAATGTATGTAGACACAGCTGTCGTATATGTGTAGTAAGTACATACAACATACACTTAATAGTGCCAATTCGCTGCGATATCGCGCGAGTGATAATGGCTTAGAGTAATCGAGCGTTATCTTTCCACATAGCAGCAGCAGCAGCAGTAGTATCACCGTGGAGGTGGAATGGACTGCCGGCGAGCATCTGTGGTGTCTAACCATTGGCATTGTGTTGAGTTTGGGTTGTCTGTGTAATATCATTTTTTGCAAGTAAGCGCGACTGAATCATGAGATGGATAGTGGGAGGGATTGGGAATTAAGTGGACATAATTTTGGCGAGCGGGCCGAAAATTAAATCGTTCACATCTGCATCTGCCGAAAATAGAGACGGTGTCTTCTGGATGACCGGCTTTCACCTTCTAATCGGTGAGGTCCGGGTGGCGATTCATCACACGCCGACTAGAACATTCAGCAGTGAAAAGGTCGAAGAACTTGAGACCCGAACAATATGGCTGATCTGCCAACAAACACGTCGGAAGAGCTAATGTTCATTTATTCATATTAAATTATATTAATGCATAATATTGTATGTGCAGGAGAATCGTGAAAGCTACTCTTGGGATGATTATAAGAAAGGATGTATGGAATTTTATAAATTCTTTAGAAAATTCCATAGATATTCTATCTTCTAGGAATGTAGAAATCGTGTAGTTAATGCAGACATTGAAAATATGTCAAGATTCTGGAAACAGAAATTTAAGATTCAAGATTTGGAATTCTGTGGCTCTGAACAGTTTTTAGGATGTTAATACTAACAAAACATTAAGATCTCGGTCTGAGAAAACTCTTCAAACGCTCAAGTTGCACGACACGACACGGTAAAATCATCTCTGGACATTGATAATGTTTGAGACTCCGTAGTGCCTGAAACTACGTTCCAGCAGTGCCAGTTGTGTTGTGTGGTACATAAATACTGTAGTGTAACATGTGCTAAACTCGGGCGGAGGCAAATACCATAGAATTTCTAACTGAGCACGACGTCAGGGAAAGTACAGAACACGATGAGACGCTTAAAAAGGTCATACATGCCTTACAGACGGGAGAATGGTCAATCGATTTGCGAAAGAATAAGGCGGTGGAAGATGACTTGACCATTCGGAACGGAATCATAGTCAAAACCGGATGTGCCGTAATGCCGGAAAAACTCCGCAAAAGAGCACTACAAGTAGCCCACGAAGGTCATCCAACAACTGCTCAAATGAAAAGTATTATCAGACAGCGTGTTTAGTGACCTGGCATTGCGAAGGATGTCCAAAATTGGGTAGAGTCCTGCAAAACATGTGCCATTAGTGGAAAACCGGGGATGACAACGCTGATGGAACGAGTATTTGTGCCAAACGCTGTGTGGGAAACAATAGCCATCGATTTCACTGACCCCTACGTCAAGTTTGGTGGCATTTCGATACTCCTAATCGTTGAATACAGATCCAGGTATCTCATAGCAAAGCCAGTAAAATCAACCTCTTTCGAATCCACGAAAAAAGATACTTGAAGAGGCTTTCGAGAGGGAGGGCCCTCCTAAGTTTATCAAATCAGATAATGGTCCGCCATTCAATGGCGTATAATACAAACAATATTGCGCTCAGTGAGGAATAACCACGATTTTGTCAACCCCGTTATTCCCGCAGCAAAATGGGGTGGTAGAATCCTACATGAATGTGGTCAACAGCTTCGACAAACAAAACCAACTTCGTTAACGAGCTACGCTGCCGCTCTTCGGATGTCGGTCCCATAGTTGTTTTTGTCAAAACTGAGTTTTTCAATGCAAATGGTAGATAATGACACATATTTTCAGAATACTGGATGAGCTCAACAACTTTGTTCTGAAAAAGTTTGGAAATACAGTCAAATTAGTTGTCCCATCACATAAGAAGCAATGGTACGAAGCAAAATTAAAACGCGATTTTCTCGGCTTACTGATTTTCGCTATGGGACGGACATGCGAATAGTGGCAGTACGGGAAGCGATCAATGCCCATAATGCAGCAAATCACAGCGTAACCAAAGTGCCACCGGAGGAAGTCATGCTGGGACGCAAGGTCAAACGAGGACTACCGCTACTGCAGCACGAGAAAGCGTCGTATGATGAGAAGCTTCTTGAAAGTACCGATCGGCAATCTAAACTGTTGGAAAAATTTCGCGAAGACGCAAGGCGCGAGCCACACGGTGATAGCAGGGCTGGTAGCAATCACTGCTGTTAAAAATAGTGATTTTAGTGACCATTTTGATGAAATAAGTGACCAAATAGTGGCTTATAGTTGTACAAATAGTGACTAAAAAGTGACCTAAAAGTAAATTTTAATGCTTCAGAGGAAAATTCCAAGGGCATTTTGAGCATAATTTCATAAAGTTTGTGGGAGAAAACGAATCCGGAGCATAAGTCCTTGGATTTTTTTTTTGAAAATACTAAAGGAGGATTACAATTAAATCTGAAAATAACTCCAGGACATCTTCAAAGGAATTCGGAAAATGAATTCAGGAGAGTTTGCCAAACAAATAATGAGAAGAAATCTAAGTAATTTGTGAGGAGAAATGCCAATGAATTCTTAGGAGATTTTCAATGTGAGTAGAATTCCAAGGGACGGAGTGAGATTGAAAATGAAATCTGAAATGAATGCAATGAATATTCGGAGAATCTTTCGAAAGGGTTTCTTATTGTGGAGAATTCCAAGGAAAACTAAAAGAAAATTAAATTCGGAGGATAGCTTCACCAAAATTTTGAGGAATATTTCAATGGAAATCTCCGTAGAATATGGAATGGACTATTCTGATGTTTTCAGAACTACTTGAAAGTTCCCAATTTTTTCCTGAAGTTAATGAAACTGCCTTGAAATTCTTTTGTAGTTTGAGAAACTAGCGTGAGACTCACAATACTTCTCATCAAATTCTTAAACTTCCCTGAACTTTTTAGGACTTCCTAAAGTTTCCTATTTTTTTTTTCAATGATCATGGATCTCCTTTAAACATTTAACAATTCGCTGAAGTTCTCTAAACTTCTTTAAAATTCATGTGATTTCTCTAATGTTAACGGAACTGCTCTGAGGTTCTTTGTTCTTTTCTGAAATTCTCAAAACTTCTCTAAAGTTTTAGCAGTTCTCATGAATCTTGTTGTATTGCGCTGAATTTAATTGAACCGCCCTAAAAATGTTTAAGCTTCAGTGAGCTTCTGAAAAATGCAAAGACCTCAATTAACTTTATAACGTCTCTGAAGTTATCTGAAAATCTGGGAACTGCATTAAACTTCCCACTAATTTTCTGAAACTAAAGGAACTGGCCTCCCCAATGTTCATAAAAAATACTGAAGTTCGCGGATCTCTCCTTAAGCTCCATAGATTTCTATAAAGTATTCGAAATGTTTGTGAAGACCACAGTCCTTCTGTGAAGTTTTCGAAGTTTTTCTAAATTTCTGGAACTTTTATGGTACCGCAATTTTCATGGAATTAGAACGAAATAATTAATATAGTTCTATGATTTTCATTGAAGTTCTCAAGATTTTTTTTTAGAAGTTCACTTCCCTTAAATTGTCGACACTTATTTGAAACTTCTTCAATAGTCTAGACTTTCCTGGTGGTATTTAAACTGCCTAAACGATTATTGAATTTCTTTAAAGTTCTCTAGACTGCCCGGAATTTTCAGTATTTTTTAAGAACCCACAACTTTACTGAAATTCAATTATTTGCCTTAAAGTTTCAACAATTTCCCTTAAGTATTATAACCCCAATTTTCCCTGAACTTATCAGTGGTTACCTGAAGTTCTCTTAATTTGTTCAATAATCCGGCAATTTGTTTGATATATATTCATAATTCCCGGACGCTTCTAAATTCCCTGAGATTCTCGCAACT